GGGGGGAGCGACAACTCGCTCAATCATCCGGACCTTATTTGGCTGTACCCCTTATTGTCTCCCCCCAAAGCTCGAAACTATATACCATGAAGCCTTGCAATGTATTTTTTTCCCTCCTATGCAAACGTCTATTGTAGATCTAATTCTACAATACTTTCGAGATCCAAGCTGGCCCATCCTGAACTTTGAGATTTTTGTAAACAGATGGATTTCATTTACTTTTTGCACTTATTATTAGTATTAGGAAGTCACATTTAGCAAAATCAGACTGTGCTGTACGCTGAATAGGCCTATAATTAATCATCATTCTGAGACCTGGCTAAAATTGCAATTATTGGCCAGCCTAAACAGCACGGCTTAATTGTACCGTGTACCTGTCATCTAAAATAGCTAAAACACCACCTAGGGACATTAATAATATTAATAATCCTTATTGCAACTTGAAACGAAATAACGATAAGGCTTTTTATTGGGGATAATAGAAGACTGGAATATTAAGTTATAAACATTATACTTTTATGTAATATTATTTAATTTAGTCACAAAGTACTTTTTGGCCAAAATAGAACAGGAAATGTACATTTCTAGATCTTGGCCTAACCTAAAGGCAGGACATATAGACTATTCGGTATCGAATACTATAAACAACTTTACCGCTTTGAGTACAAGCAGTTTGGAGTGCAGGAAGCAGTAGGAAAATCTGATTGAAAATAACACTTGTCTGCTCGGTACCAAGATACCTTCTGGTATCACTATCACTGACTCCCCACATATTGATACTGGGAGACAATTACAGAACATAGATCTGAGAAACAGGATGAATGTCTTTACACTTGTGTCTTCGTTACACTGTCATGCAATGGCGAAAGGTATGTTTCTCTTTCTGGGGGTGATTCTGTCAAGTGATTGTCAGTCATATATTGAAATTCATTATTGATGTGTAACTCTATACCGCAGTCTGCGACTCTATGCTATAATGATCTTTACGCCTTACTGTGTCAAACCTTTGCCTTTACTACTAGATCTACTACTATTACTACTCAGTTCCCATGGCCATTTGATACTCGCTCACTCTGACTACATTTTCATTTGATACAGTGGAGTAAGGAACAGCTGTTTCATGTTTGTCTGTTTGCCGCAACACTAAACTGAACTAAACTGACACAATAAAAAGACAGAATTTGATACGACTGCCTCCTAACTGCTAAAAATAATAAGATTATTAAATTATCTTTTGATTTGTTATGAAGGGGATGACTGCCAGTTTGCAGTAAAGTCCGCTTAAACCGAACATCATGTTTGATTCGAAACTGCAGTAAACCGAAAGAATCTTAACTCTTTTTGTCCGGGCTATGATATACTCGTAATGAGGACCAGTCCGGGCTATGAGTAAACTCGGAACAGCTATACGGTCACGTTAAAGAAGCTAGTTCTGCTTGTAATTACCAAAGTACGCAAATACAACGATGCTTGTCTAAATATTTTAATTTTTCAATGAACAGCAGTTTCCTTTCTTTTTATTGGTGTGTAGAAGCTTGAATGATGTCTCGAAAACGCACGTTCACGACCGATGAAGTACTTTTTGAAGTGGCGCTGGGTTGTTAGGGGGAATGATACTAATTTGAAGAAAGTGACTCTGAAACAAGTGCCGTAAATTCCATGTGGATGATAACGAACAGGACTTAGACTCATCTTATAATGATTCAGATCATGGTGATGGGGTCAGTATTGGAATTCGTGCTGTAACGATGGGTAGGGCTAGATCTATAGATCCAACGTGTGCGCGGCAATCAGGGTCAAGTTGGAGCAGGATGGGTACAGAGTCTTCGAGGGTACGCTTGCGGGATAAAAAGAGTTAAAATGAAATCCCTGATGTTACAATTTCTTCTTTAACTCATTCACTATCACCGTGGGCAACGGCGCGGCGAAAGTGACTTCGCTACGGCAAGCCACCCCCAACGGCTCGAGTAGCGACCTATAATTCTAGCTTAGATTTTATTCCAATCTACATGTAACATATCATGTTAAAATTTTTATATAAAAAGGTATAATAACATTGACTTCCGAGTCGAGCGTTTCCACCAAAAATCGTAAGTTTATATCTAGATTCTAGATTCAGTTTTGAAACGCAATTTCAAAGTTTATCGCGAAGCCCAAATTATTACCCAGACACTGGTCTCAGTACTTTTCACAACAAAATATATTTTTTCCTCAGTAAAGAAATGTAGGACTCTTCTTTAGAATATTGAAAACCTACTATTGGACTCAAATTGCCAGTGCTCTGTTATTGAGAGATCAATATTTTTCAGTGCTAGATCTATGTCTAAATCTAGATCTAAATTGTCAAAATATTTTTTTATCCCCAAAATCACTATTTTTTGGTTAAATTTTACCCCAAAACTACCTCTCAAGACATCTTGTATATAGGTTTATTCCATATGCAATTCTGAATAAGTCCATAAGATATTCAGTGTTTTTTTGCTGTTTGTGAATGCATCTGCCGTCCTTTTTTCAAGGTTTATTTATAAAAAAATATTCTTTTTGTCAATTTAGGACGTTATGATTGAAATGACAAATTTTCTGGAATGTATGTAAATAACTGCAAATTTTTCAATATTTTCCAGTTTTATATTCATTTTTTTATGGTTATTTTGATACATGTATCATTTGGCTAAGTGCAAACATATTTTTTGTTTCACCAAAGATTTTTTTTTTTCAAGTTTTATCCGCATCCAAGCAAAATTGTGTTGCATTTCGCCTCTTACAGGAACCAAAGTTGAAAAACACGCAAATAGTCATTGCAGATGTATTCTACAAAAGTATTGGCCTTCTGAAATTTTAGGTATTTAGTATGTTGAAATATCATTTGAATTTGTGGCCCCAAAGACCTGTGAACTGCGCACTAGTCACCATGATTCACCATCTTATTTCGCCCTCCTGAAAAAAATATGTCCACAAGCCGAAAATAGTATGTAGCGAATGAGTTAAAACAACTTCTTTTTTAAAAACTAAAAACATAGCTAAATTGAGATATGTAAAGCCAAGAAAATTCAACAGTCCTGCAGATTTTGATTTTAAAAAGTGGACTCCACTGTAATTGTAATCAGGAATATATATCACATTTATGACTACTTGTGTATGATATTTGACTTCTTTAGCTTGTTCACTTTCGTCTGACCACAATTAAAGCGGGTAAAAAACAATAGTTCTCTTTAATGTCTCTGTGGGTAAAAAAGTTGGAAGACATCAAAAGCCCATTTTGAATCTAAAGTTAAGTCGGCACAGCACGTCTGCTGACCAGAAGCTAAATTTGCACCAATGTGGTGGCACGTCTACTACTCAATAGAGACAATGGTGGTATATCCTTCATGGTAAAATATAGTTGTCTCTTATACCCAGTCCAGCTTTTTATAGGAAGGTATAAAAGAGATTAGGATGTATGTATGCTCTAAAAATAGTTAATAGTGTATATTTATGCTGTATTTGAAAGCAGTTTTCTGTGTGTTTTTGTGTTGCATTTCGAGACATTTAAGATGTACACTAAAAAGAGAACAAAAATAAAAAAACAGCCAACCATGACATCTAATTTATCATGTCAGGAAGATTTTTCTAGTAAGGTTAAGCAAATAAAAATGTAAGCAACTCGGCTGTTTCTTTCTATGGCAGACAGTGAAGATATCAGTTCTTCGATCAGAGCCTTGTTGATCATAATATTATTCATTCGTTCCTGATAACAATAGCAATGACTATGACTCTAATCAATCTAAAGCAATGTCAGGGAGGCTGCCGTCTTGTTCATTAATGGTATAAAAGTGTTTGATAGATACTATGGAGCCATCACTTCAAATGTACAACTTGAGTTTAACATTGTTTTCAAGCCTACTTAGGCTCGGTTCTGAAATCAAGAGCTGAGCTAGAAGGTGAGTAGAGGAGAATGTGAGGGGCAGGTGTGTGCGTGGTGTCACAACGCAATAATCACATCTCTGCCGTAAGCTGAGAAAACGCCTTTTCATTTTGGCGGCAAAAATTTTTACCTACTAAATCGAAAGCCTGATCAGTTACCCTACTTTGTGTGAAAAAATAATCATACTGAAACTGTGACTAGTTTTTTAGTAAATTAGAATTCAAATTTCGGAATGGCTCTATTTTTAAATGATAATGCTGACAAAAAACCTCTTTTTCTCGAAACTGCTCTGAAGAAAAAAAGGCGTTTAGTCAGCTTGCGGCAGATCTGTTGTTGCTTCCCCTCTCTTAAAGGTATAAAGGTATGATGCACGGCAAGACAATGAGTAATACAGTAGTAAAACCTCGATATAGCAAATGTAACAAACTCTACTGAAAAGAAACTCTCAGCTGTAAACGTTGACTGTCTGAAGTCCTGATTCCCACTAAGTATTTTTACTCTCTGAAAGCTATGTGACTAAAATGCACCTGTAAAGCATACTGTTCCCCCCAAAAAACCCAAAACAGCCAAACATGGCATATGTTTCATCATGTCAGAAAGATTTGTCAAGTAAGGTTAATCAAATAAATGTAAGCAACTTTGCTGTTTCTTTCTGTTGCAGACAGTGAAGATAATAATTATATTTTGATCATAATATTATTCATTCATGATAACATTCATTCTTGACCCTACGACGTGTAATCTAAAAAGCTGTGACACTGGGCTTTACAACATGTCATCTAAAAATGTCGTGACTATTGGCTCAAGTAACATGTAAAAACGAAAAAAATGTGACTCTAGAGAGCTGCAGGACAGAGGTTCTGCTATCTTTTTGAGGAATATGATGGTCTGGGCCTGACTGCAGAGAGGGGCGTTGAACTCGCACCTTACTGAGTCCTTGCTTGGGAGACGGGGATAAAGGTGCTTCTGTGGGTGGTTAGCGGGTGCTCTGGTGTGGTTTGCTTCTTCTTTCCTGTCAAACATCTGTCGTCCTTATCTCTCCTCTTTCTTTTTTGTGTTTGTTACTCTCCTGTAACACCTCTAATCTTCGGCTCTTATATGACATTATTGTTTTGCAAGTGCCATAACACACTTACTAAAACAAACAAAGATGCTTCTTCATGGGCTGATTTATCATTGTCATGCTCATACTAGGCTGGAACGACACAGGGGGAACTGTTGCTTTTTCTTTCCTCGTCCTTACTATCGTCATTTTTTCCTCTACTTCTTTTGCATGTTTGTCACTCTCTTGTGAACTGCTATTTCCAGAGTGCCTTGATAGTCAAAGCAGACTTTGTGCTGTTGAGGCTAGAGAGGTGAGCAAAGAAAACCTGATTCCCCGTTTGGACAGTTTCTCTGTTGATATCCACCCCTTGGCACTCATATGACCGTATGCAGTTACGAGCGCTGTAAAACCTTACTAAAACTAAACTAAAAGATGCTTCCTCTTCTTACCCTTATAATAGTTAATCTGTGGATGGTTGGAGGCTGCTCTAGTGTGGTTTGCTCCTTCTTTCTAACCAAACATCTATTATCTCATCTCTCGTCCTTCTTTTCTTTGTTACTGTTTAGCTACGCCTGTAAATGCTGGCACTAATATGACCTATTTTGTGTTACAAGAGGTGTAAAACTCACGCTTAATCAAAGACTAAAACTTCTGTCAATCAAGACACAGTACTTCCCCATTGTCTGTTCCTCCATAACCCCCCCCCCCAGTCATGTTGCCTGCCTCTCTTGTCTCCGCCCCAAACTGGTTCGAAATGGTCAGCCGAGCGAGGGAAGGCAAACACGTTTGATCAAGGGTGGATCGTTATCTTGTTTTCTCATGAGGACTCTTGAGAGATACATGTTGAGAACAAACCAGGATTACCAACCGCTACAAGATAGTTCATGACGAGTCAAGATTACCAGCCACTAGAAGCCTGGACACTACTGATCTGTGTGTCTTGTAGTGTACCTATTTATAGAACTTTTTATCACTACTGTGGTAGATAGTTTTTAGAAATTTCACTGAAAGTCTGATTCTACATGCCCAAGCTCAATTTTTATAATGTGGTGGGTTTTTAGACCTGTTTTATTTTTCCCATGAAAGTGAATTAATTTATATTTTTTTTATTCTCCTCTTCACTGTGAATGTTAATATTCATGTAAAAGAAGTAAGATTTCTTTTCAGGAGACTTTCTAACATTCTAAACTGTGCGTTTTTGAGGTGTAAAATTATTGCCTTTCTCCCTGGTCAGTGTTGTTGTTGGTTTCGTTGGCGTCTGTGGCCTGGTGTGAGCGGCCCCTGGCCCCTCTGATCCCAGCTATGTGTGGCCGGCACAGCCCCAAGGCCAAGATGGACACAGCTCTGGTCAAGGTCATCAACGATGATACGAAGGTTCCCCTGGTCGTGTACTTACAGAGCCAGCAGTGTTACAAGGTGAGACACTTGTGTGTGACAAGGTGAGACACTTATGTGTGACAAGGTGAGACACTTATGTGTGTGTGACAAGGTGAGACACTTATGTGTGTGTGACAAGGTGAGACACTTGTGTGTGACAAGGTGATACACTTATGTATGACAAGGTGATACACTTATGTATGACAAGGTGAGACACTTATGTGTGACAAGGTGAGACACTTATGTTTGTGTGAGACAAGGTGAGACACTTATGTGTGTGTGTGACAAGGTGAGACACTTATGTGTGTGAGACAAGGTGAGACACTTATTATGTATCACAAGCCAAGGTGAGACACTTATTTGTGACAAGGTGAGACACTTATGTGTGACAGACAAGGTGAGACACTTATGTGTGTGTGTGTGACAAGGTGAGACACTTATGTGTGTGTGACAAGGTGAGACACTTATTATGTGTCACAAGCCAAGGTGAGACACTTATTTGTGACAAGGTGAGACACTTATGTGTCACAAGGTGAGACAAGATGAGACATTTGTGTCTAACAATGTTACAAGGTTACGGAGAACTCTGTGTGTGTGTGTGTATGTGTGGTGTGTGTGTGTGTGTGTCTGTGTTCCCCCTCCCCCCTCCCTCCCTCCCTCCCTTCACCATATGTCGCTCTGTCCTCAGCACAACCTGATTCCCACTGTCCCCACTTTGACAGTGATGGAGAACTGTGTATGTGCGTGTGACTGTGTGTTTATGCATGTGTTTTTGTGTGTGTTTCCCTTCACACTATGTACAGTCAACTATGCTTGTAGTGATGTGGTTGGGGGACCTGAAAAAATATTGATACATTCAAAGTTCGCAACAGCCGTTGGAAGAAAAATTCAGGGAAATAATCCCAGTACCCAACCTCACTGTAGTTCTCCCTCATGGTGCTAGGCAAAGTGAGAGAGAGGCAGTATCGTGTTCGCTTTGGCGCTTATCATATAAGGTTATCAATAGTATCGGGAGATTGATGCCTCGTACTGTTGTTTGAATGTGCGTAACGTTACAAAACATCATCGATTTCATCAATGCTAGGTCAAAACTAACCACGGGGGAAACACCGTTAAAACCGTTATATTTGTACTATTAACTATATGGGCCGGGGTAAGAATACGCATCACTACAGCCGTCACGACGGATGTAGCGAATTCGGCACAACCGTTTCAATTTTATTGAGTTTGTGTTACATCGGTGCCCTTTCCACGGAAAAAGATCACTGCTTCCGAAGATCTTTACAACCAACTTTGCTACAAGTGGAATGGACTGTATATGTGTCTCTCTGTCCACAGTGCGACCTGATCCCCACCGTGACTGTAACTGAGAACTTGAATGCGTGTGTGTGCGTTTATGTATGTGTTTATGCATGTGTGTATTTTTATTTATATGTGTGTTTATGTGTGTGTTTGTGTATGTCTGTCTCCCTCCCATCACTATAAATGTCTCTCTGTCCACAGTGCGACCTAATCCCCACTGTTACAGTAATAGAGAACTGTACACTCTCTGTGGACTCGCGATGGCCAGTCCGGGTGGAGATTCGACTGGTAGACAGTAATGGGACTCTGGTCAAACCTTCGCTGTCTTGCAGGTTGGTGTTTGTCTGTGTTTGTGTTGTGTGTGTGTATGTGTGTGTGCCCTAGATCATCCCGTGTAGCGCTGCAAACTAACTAATGGTGCTAAAGCAGCAGAAGCCAACTCATCTCTGAAGTTAAACGAAAACACAATGTGTGCAAGTCTAGATCTGCCTCCACCACAAGTCCAATAGTCGACTATCCGTGCCTCCTGCAGGTTGATGTTTTTCTCTGTGTATGTGTGTGTGGTGTGTGTGTGGGTGTGGGTGTGTTTGTGTTTATCTGTGTACCATGAAAGGCTTACTAAAGCTAAAAGCAGTGGAACCTGCTCAAATGGCCACCTGTTCGAAACAGCCACCTCTCCCAACTTTCTCATCCCATTTTTCCCCCTTGTGTTTTTAAAAACTAAAATTACACTTTCCAAGACGTCCACCTGTGAAAGTCAATTACTTTTCTCCTTTTCAACTTTATTAATCTGCAATTTTAAAAAAAAATTTTGATGTGGTTTTTGAACTCTTAGAAAAGTTCTCGAAATGTCCATCCATGCTTGATATCATATCTTTGTACTTACTAACTTTTACTTTTTCATCCTCTGTTGCCGTTAAGCGTCAAGGGGAGTGCAGTTTTCTATGGTAGGCCAGCTCGGCAGCTCTTTCAGTTTTGATGTTATGTTTTCATAGGGTTTCCTTGACACCCTCGATCCACCTTTGTGCATAGATTTTATTGCTCACATTTTGTTAGGACTTTTTGAAAAATGTGTTATGGTTGGAGTACCTACATAATACAGTCTCTGATAATTTTCCATCCCCCCCCCCCAACCTTGCCCACCCCCGCACCTCGCCCCACCCCACCCAGTGAGGAGTCCCTCACAGACTTGTATGTGGAGGGAGGTGTCTACAACATTTACATCCAGCATGAAGGTTCGCAGGCAGGCCAGGATATCTCATGCATGTCCGTTCTAATGAACGACCCCGAAGATTCCAACATTCGTAAGTTACCCTGTTATAAAAATGTTCAAGTGTCGTTTTAATAACTAGAAATAATTGATAATTGTGCCCATAAGCAAGACAAGTTCACATGATCAGTTTCTGTTTATAAAAAAAACAGACTACAGGAAGAGCAGTATTTGAAATGAGTTTGAATCAGGTCAACGGTTCAACCTTATAAGTGGGTGGTTCGTGGGTGCTCTGGTGTGGTTTGCTCCTTCTTTCCTATCAAACGTCTATCATCCATATCTCCCCTTCTTCTTTTTTATGTTTGTTATTCTCTTGTAATACCTTTAATCTTCTGGTGCTCATATGACCTTATGCAGTTGCGAGCGCCATAAAACCTCTACTAAAACTAAACAACCTTATAACATTTGAGTGTTGTGTTTGAGGAATCAGTTTCTTTGTTGAAGGGGTAAAATCCCATGGCTACCTTTTTAACATTTTTAGTGAGTGGTTGGTAGGTGGTCTGATGTGGTTTGTTCCTTTTTTCCTTTAACTTATATGACCGTATTGTGTTGCTCATGCCATAGAGCTCTCATTAAAACGTTTTGAAATGTTTTGTTTGTTTATGGATTTATATTATATGTGAGTATCAATAATATGTTTTTTGTATATATTTATGTGTTACTATTGTATTTGTGTATATATTTTTATGTCAGTGTTATGTTTGTGTGTGTATTTAAAGGTCAATGTGTCTGTCAGCTTTTCAGTGTGTTCTACACCTTCTGTTTGTGTGTTCTGTACATTACGTCAATGTGTTTTGTACATTCTTTTTCTCTTTTCAGCCATCTACGTTACCATTAGCATTGGACTTTTCCTCATCATAATGTGGATTCTCGGGAAATATCTTCACAGGTGTGTTATAAACCATAGGTGTAAGGATTTCTGTACATCTGTTGGTAGATCTGTTCTGATGTCATGTCATGTGTTGATCTTATGGCAGTGAGTGGCTGGTGGGTGCTCTGGTGTCATTTGCTCTTTCTTTCCTTCTATCTAACATCTATCGTCCTTATCTCTCCTTTTTTGTGTGTGTGTTTCTTACTCTCTTATAACACCTTTAATCTTTGGCACTCATATGACCAAAATTGTGTTTGCACTAAATGACCAAAATTGTGTTTGCACTAAATGACCAAAATTGTGTTTGCACTAAATGACCAAAATTGTGTTAATGTGCTTCTCATGAGGTTGTTTTTCAGTGGGTGGTTGGCGGATGCCCTTGTGTGGTTTGCTCCTTCTTTCCTATCAAACAACCTATCATCCTTATATCCCCTCCTTCTATTTTGTGTTTGTTACTCTCTAGTAACTCCTCTAATCTTTTGTACTTATACGACCTTATTGTGTTGCAAGTGCCATAAAACTCTTAGTAAAACTTTTAAAAATTACCATATTTGTGTTGATGAGCTTCTCTTTACTCACACAAACAAACATCACGAGGTTATTCTTGTGTTGTTTCCTCAGGAGAGGCTACATTCGTCGTGTGCTGTGTTTTTGGAGCACGGAAAACATGATGTCTGTAAGTACTTCTTATCGTGGCAAAATGGCAGTCACTGGAGGGGAAGAAATTGTCACTGTCGCAAGCAGTCCACTTCATTCCGTCGCAAGCAGTCCACTTCATTCCGTCGCAAGCAGTCCACTTCATTCCAAATTTTGAGAATTTTTATTTTTACACCCTCTCAAAGTCAAAGCTCTGTCAATGATGCACCTTTCGACATCACCAAAATTCAGTTTAACTCTTAACTCTTTGATCATGTCTGGGTGGGGGCAGCATCCAGTAGTCGAGGTCGGTAACCATGGCTGGACGGTACCACTGTTTGATGCGAAGTTATTATTGTGTTATGGTATGAGCCGAATATAAAAAGTACGAGCTAACAAGCCTTTAGTTTGACCCGGAAATCAAAGATAAATGAATTCTACGTCTGGGTAATGCTTTATTTAATCAGTTTGACATAAAACAAGTGGTTTTAATAACGTAATATGTCGTGTCGCATCTCCACCAACACAAGAGAATTACACGGAAACATGATTATAAATTTTATGGTTAAAGAGTTAATGTGGGTGGTTGGCGGGTGCTCTGGTGTGGTTTGCTTCTTCTTTCCTATGAAACATCTATCGTCCTTATCTCCCCTTCTTCTTTTTTGTGTTTGTTACTCTCTTGTAACACCTCTAATCTTCTGGCGCTCATATGACCTTATGCAGTTGCGAAAGCCGTAAAACCTCTACTTTAAAAAAAAAAGTTAATGCTATGGTCAAGGCTTACAATTTTCTTGCTTTTCTTGATTCGGGATAGGAACAACACAACAAAAACTAGGGGGCTCTCCTGGCCTAGAGGTTAAGGTGTTGGCCTCTCATTCAAAGGTTCCGGGTTCGAATCCGGGTAGCGACCAAAAAATTTTCTTCTCTAAAATTGTCTCCTTTCACCTCCTTTCTTGCTCTCTAGCAATATTCTGTCATCTGCTTTCGTCTCCTCTTTCTGCCCCCACCCCCTCACCTCCCTTGCCTCCTCCTCTGGGCTCCTGACTCTGCAGCCTTTCTACTGCTACTCTTTGACTCCTTCCTACAGCTGTCTTTCTACCACACCCCTGATCTTCTGGTAGGAAAGATCTACACACCTAGCCTTCTCGGACAAGGGCGAAAAATCTCGGAGGGCCCATGTGCAAGTTGCGCACGTTAAAGATCCCTTGGTGGTCTAAAATCAATAAGAGTAGGCTTCGGCCGCCACCCGGGCAAAATTCAAAATTTCCTACCTACGAAAAAGTATTAGGTGTGTCCCGCGCGCTCAATGACCTTATGCAGTTGCGAGCGTCATAAAACCCTATACTAAACAAACAAACAAACACTCGGACTTAAGTGAATTGCTTGCGACACAGACGAAGTGATGATAAAGATCTGTTCTGTGTCTCCCACTCCTGTACTTTCACAGTCCTAGGCGCTTTGCAATATTTTCATTTTTAACACAAAATATGTGTGCATGAATGTGCGTACATACGCTCTGTAGATTAATGCTAACAGGTAAGTAGACTTTCATACCAGCACAACACAATCAATGACCATATGCACATCACACCATAAACATAAGAGTATATGTACTATAAACACAAAGGACCAACGGTCAAAATCTCATTTCATGGAGTATTTTTTAAAGTGAATTTTAAGTTTTGCCTCAGACTTTCTTCTGTCGGTTTTTACATTATATTTGAGTAGTTTGTGGTTATTTTGTCCAGGACCTCGGGACTCCGACAAACATCAGTCGTGTGGATGACTCATCAGGGTCAGAGGTCAAGGTGCCGGTCAAAGAACGTCTCAAGTCGCTGGACACATTCAGGGGGTGAGTGGTTCAAACCTGGGGCTGGGTCAGTGTCAGAGCTTTGTGGTATAGTGTAGTAGTATATAGTGTGTGGTAGATGATGAGGTGGATGAAGTGCACGGAGAGATGGGTTAATACACGTTGAGGTGTGTAGTACATGGAGAGATGTGTCAGGACACATTGAGGTGTGTAGTACATGGAGAGATGTGTTAGGACACAGTGAGGTGTGTAGTACATGGAGAGATGTGTTAGGACACAGTGAGGTGTGTAGTACATGGAGAGATGTGTTAGGACACGTTGAGGTGTGTAGTACATGGAGAGATGTGTTAGGACACAGTGAGGTGTGTAGTACATGGAGAGGTGTGTTAGGACACAGTGAGGTGTGTAGTACATGGAGAGATGTGTTAGGACACGTTGAGGTGTGTAGTACATGGAGAGATGTGTTAGGACACAGTGAGGTGTGTAGTACATGGAGAGGTGTGTTAGGACACATTGAGGTGTGTAGTACATGGAGAGATGTGTTAGGACACAGTGAGGTGTGTAGTACATGGAGAGGTGTGTACAAAAGTGTGCAAAGTGAGGTGTGTTTAGTACATGGAGATATATGAGAAGTTCACAGTGCAATGTGTATAGCACTTAAGAGAGATGTGTTAACTACAGGGTGAGGTATGTGTAGTACTTATAGAGATATGTTGGTACGTGGTGATGTGTGTAATCTACACAGTGAGGTGTGTATAGGACATGGAGAGATGTGTTAAGTACACGATGAGGTGTGTAGTACATGGGGATATGTGTTAGGAAACAGTGAGGTGTGTTTAGTACATTGAGAGATGTGTTAGGACATGTTGAGGTGTGTAGTACATGGAAAGATGTGTTGGTACATATTGATGTATGCGATCTACACAGTAAGGTGTGTTATGTAAAAGGTGAGGTGTGTTAGTATACAATGAGGTGTGTGGTACATGGAGAGATATGTTAGGACACAGTGAGGTGTGTATAGTACACAGTAAGGTGTGTTAAGAACAGGATAAAATGTTTGTAGTACACAGCTGGTGTGTTAAGTAAGCTACATGGTTAGATGTGTGTGTGTAGTACATGATGAAATGTCTGTGGTATATATTGAGACATTTTCATATTACAGTGAATTATGTATAATATACAGTTAGATGCGTTTATTACACAGAAAGGTGTATATTTAGTATATGATAAGATGTGCTCAGTACTTGATGAGATGTGTGTAGTACAGGTGTGTATAGTACAACTGTGACATATTATGTCCAGTGGGCTTGAGAAAAGAGTTGTGATTTGTATTTTCCTATTCTTTTCTTGCCTTCACATTGTGATTACTGTAAACATTTTCCCCGCTGTTTTTATCGACAGGATAGCAATAATTATAATGATATTTGTCAACTATGGTGGGGGCAAGTATTGGTTCTTCAAGCATTCTAAGTGGAATGGCCTGACCGTGGCAGATTTAGTGTTCCCCTGGTGAGAAGAGAACCCATGCTGTTCACATGCTCTGTCTTGCATTTGTGTATATATGTATTTAATTCTTTTGCCTTTTTTTCTGTTTTTCATATACTCACGGGTTTGGTTTGATTTCACTAAACCATTGTTTGCTTTCATACAGCTGATTTTTATTTGGTTCTAACTCGCACTTTTCTCTGTCAGTGTTTTCCAGCGCAGAGCTTCAGATCGCTTCTAGTTATAGCACTGGTGTGCATGCCTTGATGTTTTGCTATCTGTTGTATTTCTCGTCCAAGTTTTCTTGTCATAGAACATGTACCGACATACTTACATAAGTACATGGGAGCTTTTGAAGGATATAGTCTCTGTGACTATGTCGTTAACACCCCTTGCATACATGCACAAGAGATCTCAAAATGTGCGCATTCCCCTTTATATAACACGGTAAACTAAAACAAAACACGTCCACCTGTTTGAGACAACTACTTTTTTTTTCCTCGACAATTGGTGGCCATCTTGCACAATTTTGACTAGGCCATCTTCTTGCTCATGTTTTCTGCCAGACTTACAGTATAGCTGCCAGTATTTTCTCTAGCTGATTTTCTGACAACTAGAAATATCATGAGAAAAGAGTGAGAACACAATCGATATTTACAACTAAAGTACAGGCCTATTGCAACAATTATATTTTACTGCTAGACTTAAAGCTACATAGATCGACTTTATAGGTTTCCTTTTTTTTTTTAAAGATCTCATGTGGGTGGTTGGCGGGTGCTCTGGTGTGGTTTGCTCCTTCTTTCCTATCAAACATCTATCATCCTTATCTCCCCTTCTTCTTTTTTATGTTTGTTATTCTCTTGTAACGCCTCTGATCTTCTGCCGCTCATATGACCTTATGCAGTTGCGAGCGTCGTAAAACCTCTACTAAAACAAAACAAAGATCTCATCAACCCTTTGTCCTCCCCCCGTGCTCTTTACTACATGTGCAATGTATTGTTTGTGCGTAGCAGGGGTCACCAAGCTATGGTCCGTGGGAGGGATCCTGCCTTCAAGGTCATTTCATCTGGCCCATGGCCATTCCACCATGCCGGAAAAAAACTTAAAAGATGTGTTTGAAGTGCATTCAGGTCTTGTTCATCTAAATGATTTGATTATTTCATTGAACTCTTCAGTGCAAATTTAACATTTAAAAAAAAAAAAATTTTAATATGATAAGTTTATAGGTCTGTTGTCTTTATTACTTCTGGATTATATATTTTGTGTATTGATAATTCATCAGGTTGGTTCTCTTTTTTTCTTGTGTTTTTCGTGCTTTGCATCCAACAAAATAGTTATCCGAACCACGTTCGGCATTCTCCCGAGCTATTTGGCCCATTTTGACAAAGGTTTGGTGACCTCTGCTGTATAGGTGTATACTTTCTTTTGTCTTGATGTGAATGCGGCATGTACTGTTGGTATTTATAGATGTGTACTTTTTCTTTTCTTGTTGTGAATGCGGCATGCATTGTTGCTATTTGGGTTTTAAAGGCTTGTTTTTATTGGGGGTTTTTTCTTTCTTTTGTTTTCTAGAATAAGCATTTCAGTGATGATTTTCGTGAATTATGGGGGCGGTGAGTACTGGGAGTTCAGCCACTCCACATGGAATGGCCTGACCGTGGCTGACCTGGTCTTTCCATGGTAGGATGTCTATGTGTTACGCAGTTCTATGTGCCTCCACATTTCTTTCTTTCTCTACATTTCTTTCTTTCGCTCCATTTCTTCTTCCTCTCTTCTTTTTTTTATTTACCACACATCCACATCACTCTCTACGTTCCCATTTCTTTTGGTCTGCCATAAATATATTTCTTTGTCCACCTTTCTGTCCATTTCTTTCATTTTGTTCATTTTCTAATTGTGAGGCAGCGTGGTGGAATCAGGCTCTCGTCAATTTTGGGGCATGTAATGTTATTGGTATCATCTTAAAGCTTGTTCACCTGTCTTTATTTGGATGCAAAAAATATCCATTTATCTTGAATACAAGTCAAGATATTTGCAAAAGAAGGAGGGGGGAGTCACCTGTTTTCAGAGGTTAAATTAGTGAGAAAATGGCCGCCAAAGATTAGTTATTTTCTTAGCTTAAGAGTCTGTGGTAACTGAAAATTTACTTTTTTTATGCCTTTAATCAACGCTTTTCAGAAACATCCACACAGAAATGAGTTCTTTAATGGGCATGAAAGGTGTTGAGCCAAAAAGTAAAAATTTGATAAAAATTCACAAACCTGCGGAAAAATGCAAGTCTCTTCACTTTAATTATTTTGACGAGAGCCTGATTCCACCACGCTGCCTCACAATTTATCCACATTACTCTCAACATTCCATGTCTTTCTTTCTCTCTGTTTCTTTCCTTCTTTCTTCACATTTCTTGCTAATGCCTCTACTTTTTCAAAGGGATTTTTTTTAAAATTGCCCTTGAGTTAATTTAAGACTTTTTTGCTTTTTGTTTTTCTTTTTTAAAGTGGTTCTTTGTATTAAATACTAAATGTGTGTCATTTACTACAATATGGCTAATTTTTATTTTATTATTTGAGAGGCTTTTTTTTCGTTCTCAATTTTTTAAAGATATTTAGTCATGAAAACAGTCAGAAGAAGGTAAAGTCAATGTTGTAAATGCCGATATTTGAACCCTTTACGGTCAAAGTAGTTTAAACAAACCTTTGTTATGAAACAAGTTGCATGTATTGTAGCTGTATGCTAAAACAAACCTCTTTGTTATGAGGCAAGTTGCATGTATTGTAGCTGTATGCTAAAGCAAACCTCTTTGTTATGAAACAAGTCGCATATATTGCACCTGCACGCTAAAACAAACCTCTTTTTTATGAGGCAAGTCACATGTACCGTAGCTGTGTACTGTGCTAAAACAATTTTCTTTCTTATAAGGGAGCTTTTTGAATGATCTTACAAGAAATATGAATCTTTGTTTTCCATTTATCGTTATTCAGATATGACAGAAGCAGATTTTTTTGTGTCAAATGTAATAGTGGGCATTTAGATTAAATGGAACTTTGCCTTTTTAAAAGTTGTGATAACTTTCATATGATACAATTTGTAACTTGTATATTGGAATGCTTTGCTATTGGTACTAAAGTTTGGGGAAAAGCTAAATAAAACAATGTGTACTAGTGTCTAATGTCAACCCGTCTAGTCTGTATTTGTGAAATGATGGTGGGTCAAAGGTTGAAAGATCTTGATGGTTATAATATCCTGTAGTGTGTTGATTTAGCTTTGTCTAGTTTGTGATTTAAATGTGTAAATGATGGGGAGTAAGAAAGAGTTCCCAGGTAAAAGGGTTGTTGTGGTTTATAACTGTCATTGGTTTAGTGTTTGTCTCTAAAGCATGATATGATGGTTCCATGACTTCGAGCTCCCAGATAAAGAGAGTTGTGAGGTGCCTGACTATCTCTCTACACTCCCCCCCATCCCATCCCGTCCCAGGTTCGTTTTCATCATGGGTACAGCGATGGTGTTCAGTTTTCAAGGACAGCTTAGACGGTCTGTACCAAAGTGGAAAATATTCCTCAAAATTCTGAAGCGATCTGCTACGCTCTTCATACTTGGGCTTCTTATCAATTCCTTTGGCATGACTGATGGTAAGTACCTGTGAATAAGTCTAGATTATGTACTGTTAGAAACATATGATTGATAGTAAGTACCGTCAGTTGGACCCTGTTTCATAGGCGTGTGATAAAACATGGATTTTTTAGGCACGACCTCTGAATTTAACATCCATCTCATAGAGGACCGAGACAAATGGATTGAGAACCTTGAAAACCCCACAAAGCAATTATAGTTTGGAACGCCCAGTCTGGGATTTGAACTAGGGCCATCCGCTCTGAAGTCCAGCTTGATACTAACTTAGCCCAGTGTTGATGAAAAGGTCAACGTTTTAATGTTTTAGGTGTGTGCTGTAAATCACCTTATTTTTAAAAAAAACTTCAATGGGCTGACATGCTGTTGGTTTGAGGGCGCCACTCGTCCTTCTTCTGTTGTTTCTGTCTGTCTGTCTTACTTTTTCTCAGCTCTAAATGACAACTATTGTGCTGATGTGCCTCTCTTTACTCAAACAAACATGGTACAAAACAATTAAGCCAAAATCCAAGGAATCATGCTGGAACCTTATTTTACAGTGACCTCCTTTAATGGTCTTCTAGATTCTGTTGGTCGTCCAACTTTTAGATTCACATGCAAAGGCCTGAGAATATTTTAAAAAGCAGTTTGTTTTTATATCCCATTTTAACCACAGACGGACCAAAGTGAAGAGGCTGTGGAGAGGGGGAGAGGGGGAGAGAGAGGGAGTGAAGAGAAGAAAGGGAGAGGAGAGGGAGGGGGGGGGAAGGGTGCATCCCACCATCTGATCATCACATGTGTCATGCCTGTAACTGGATGTCCTAGGTGACGAGACGGAGAGAAGGGGAGAGAGAGGGAGTGAAGAGAAGAAGGGGAGAGGGAGAGGAGAGGGGGGGTGTATCCCACCATCTGAATATCACATTTGGTTGGCAGAGTCTCTGTTGTGGTTTGCTCCTTCTTTCATATCAAACATCTGTCGTCTTTATCTCTCTTTTTTTTTTTTTTTTGTTCCTCTCTCTATTGTAACACCTCTAACCTTCGGTACTTAATATGACTACTTGTATTGCAAATGCTGTGAAGCTTTTAGTAAAATTAAACTTAAAAAGACCCACATGCAAAAGGACCCGAGAAGATTAAACGGAGCGATTTATTAACATCTTGTTTTAACTGCTGACAGACCAAAGTGCAGATTCTGTAAGTAGTTGATGGATATTCTGGTCTGGTTTGCTTCTTCTTTTCTATCAAACATCTATCAAGGGGGCTCTCGTGGCCTAGAGGTTAAGGTGTTGGCCTCTCATTCAAAGGTCCCGGGTTCGAATCGGGGTAGTGACCGAAAAATTTTCTTCTCTAAATTTGTCTCCTTTCACCTCCTTTCCTGCTCTCTAGCAATGTTCTGTCGTCTGCTTTCGTCTCCTCTTTCTGCCCCCACTCCCTCATCTCCTTTGCCCCCCTCCTCTGGGGTCCTGATTCTTTCTACAGCCTTTCTACTGCTACTCCTTGGCTTCTTCTTACTGCTGTCTTTCAGCCACACCCCTGATCTTCTGGTAGGAAAGATCTACACCTAGCCTTTTCGGACAAAGGCGAAAAATCTCGGAGGGCCCGTGTGCAAGTTGCACACATTAAAGATCCCTTGGTGGTCTAAAATCGATAAGAGTAGGATTCGGCCGCCACGCGGGCAAAATTCAAAATTTCCTACCCACTGAAAAAGTTTAATGTGTCCCGTGCGCTCATATGACCTTATGCAGTTGCGAGCGCCGTAAAACACTATACAAAAACAAAACAGAAGATTAAACGGAGCGATTTATTTACATCTTGTTTTAGCTGCTGACAGTCTAAAGTGCAGATTCTGTAAGTAGGTGATGGATGTTCTGGTCTGGTTTGCTTCTTCTTTTCTATCAAACATAGACTATCGCCCTGATTTTTTCCCCCCTCCTTTTTTTGTGTTTGTTCTCTCTCCATTATAACTCCTCTTCTTCTTCTTCTTCCTCGTTCTCGATGACAGCAGCTAGACAGTCAGTCCGATGTGGCATACAAACTGTGTAGTTCGCTTCAACTCTGAAAGACTGCCATAGAGATAAATCCTATTCTTCGGCACTTATGTGACTACTTGTGTTGCAAGTGCCGTAGAGCTCTCACTAACGTTAAACTTAAAAAGACCCACATGTAAAGACCTGAGAAGATTAAACAAAGCGATTTGTTTTCGTCCCGTTTTGACAACAGACAGACCGAAGTGAAGTGGCTGTGGGTGATTGGCGGGTGCTCTGATGTGGTTTGCTCCTTCTCTCCAATCAAACATCTATCGCCCTGATTTTTCCTCCTTTTTTTTGCTCGTTACTCTAAATGTACCACTTTTGACTCTAATCATCGACACTTCTATTTATATGACAAATTGTGTTGCATGTGCCATGAAACTCTTACTAGAACAAAAGTAAAGAGGCTCATATGACAAATTGTGTTGCATGTGCCATGAAACTCTTACGAAGGCTGAAATTAAAATGATGAAGCTAAAAACAAAAACTAGAGAGAGTTCGGGACAGGTTGTCTACTGCAGTGTTTCCCTGGTGCCACAGGTGTGGACTTTGACAACTTCCGGATCCCAGGCGTGTTGCAGAGGTTTGCTGGGACGTACCTGATCACTGCCTCTGTGTTCCTGTTTCTGGCACCTGTACACAACCCTGCACAGGTGTGTGTGTGTGTGTGTGTGTGTGTATGTGTGTGTGTGTGTGTGTGTGTGTTGGGGGGGGTAT